TTCTGTTCCTAGTACTAAGTTAATAGGAAGTGGGACTGGTGAGATTGTGAGACTATGATTTCATCAATTTATTGTAGTGCAGATCACATTGATTTATGGCAGAATGCTGTCAGGTGACAAGTCACTACACTTTACTTTATTTTGGACTAGATTGATCAGGAAATATAACTGTGCCTTAGAATTTGGAGAAATTATTATTCCATGCATATGAGTAACATGAAATTAATGTCCGAGAAAAGTACTCCTGGGGGAATTCTGCTCCAAAAAAATTAAAAATTCTGTGCACAATATTTTAAAATTCTGCATATTTTACTTGTCAAAATAACTATATAATCATGCAGTTTCCATTATTTTGGTAATTTATTTCAAAATACCTGTCAACAAGTATGTCTAACAATTGAGACAACAAAAAAGATTCAGGAAATGTTTTTTAACAAATAGATTCCTTACTGGGCATATTAACACAGATCTTTGATTAATAATTCATTTAAACTACAATACAGAAATGTATTTCCCACACCCCTCAGAAGCAGTCAAAGGCTTGGGGGAGTCAGGGGTAACAGAAAAGCTGGGGGACAGGGAAATAATTGCTGGGAAGGAGCCTGGGCGTGAATTTGGAAGGAGCCTGGGCGTGAAAGGAGGTTTGTTGGGTGTAGATAGGAGAACCCCTGCCCCCAATCTCCCTTCACCCCTACTCAACAACTCCCTGTCCCCCATCCCCTTGTGGCTCTGCACCACCTCCCCCATCCCATGTGTCCCTGCACCCCCTCCCCTGTCCCCATGCACCCCTCCCCCATGTGTCCCTGCATCCCCAGTCATCCCCTGCCCTCTCTCCCCATATGTCCCTGCATTCCCTTGCCCCATCCCCATGTGTCCCATCACCCCCGCTCCCATTTAGCCCTTGCTCCAGTCTGTTCCCGCAACTAGCACTTCTGAACCCCAGTCTATGTGACCCCACCTGCAGCAGCCCCGAGGGCCCCAATCTGTCTGTTCCCCCCCCCCCATATCCCATGCTCCTCACCTGGCCCCGCGGGCAGGGCGCTGTGAGGAATGCAGCCTCTGCTCTTTCCCTATTGGGTACTGACTGCTATGGCTGGTGAGCTGTGAGCCAGCTGCCTCTGTTCGGGCACCACAGCATCCCCTGGTGGACGAAAGGCAAAATTGCAGTGCCTCTCCAGCAGAACGTATTTTCTGTGGAGAAAAAAAAAATCTGCAGAACATATGAATTCTGCCGTGTGTGCAGCGGCTCAGGATTCCCCAGGAGTAAACAAGGTACCAGTAGTGGAGGAAAGCTGAAACTTAAGCCAAGATTTCCAAAAGTGACTAGTGAGTTTGGGTGCTTTATAGGGTGCTGAACACCCAGTCTCTGAAGATTCAGGCCCCTTTAAGGTGGCTCAAGTTGGGTACAATGGCATAGCTACAATAGTGCAAGTGGTGCAGTCACGGCAGGACCCATGTGGTTATGGGGGCCCAGCCAAACAGTGCAACTCTCTGGCCCTTCACCTGGTGCACAGGGTGACAAAACATTCTCTCAAATTTGGCCCTGGTGCCCCTCCATTGATGAAGGAGCAGTGGGGGCCACATTTGAGTGGCATTGCAACTGGGCATGCTGCCAGGTTGCAGCACCATTCAGGTTTGGCCCGGCCATGCCTCCATCATGATGGTGGGGCATCTGGGCCAAATTTGAGCGAGTATCATTACAGTGGTTTCACAGCACTGCTCAGGATTGGTCCAGCCACTCCTTCATCACAACAGAGGGGTGGTGCTGTGTGAATGTGGGGCAGGTGATGGGAGCACATGGCGCTACTGGGCAGCCAGGATTAGGAGGAGTCACCCTAAATCAGGATGGGAGCAGAATGCTAAGCTGCGGGCACCAGTAAGTAGCCAGGAAGGTCCCAGGACAGTTGGTGAGGGGTTAGGAGGGCTGAGTTGTTGGTGAATTAGGGGTGAGTGGGGAGTGTGGGGGATGGGATGGGGAGGGTAAGCAAAATTTTAGATTTTGGAATCAGGAACGGGGCCCCTAACCTATTCTTGCACCAGGGCCCTCATTACCCCACTGGTTGGGATAATTGGGGCACCAAAAGTCACTGTTGAAAATCTTAGCCTTGGTGGCTACTTCTAGACTTACTTTTAAATAGAAGAGGCTGTTACCAATCGGTCCCAGGGGAAATGTCAAAAATAGATTTTTACATGTAATTGATCTAGCCAACACCCCATTGTCACCACTGATCCATAAAAACAGTAGACAAAAAGCGCTCTCCATGCACGAAATCTGAAACTGGAAAAATGGGACTTTCTGAACAGGCTGATTTCCCATTTCTAAGCTCCCGACTTTAAGACTCTTTGTTTTGTATTGCCACAGAAGTGGGCGCCATCATTCATGAATATGGGCTGAGAGATTCTATTGTCAGGCTTTAAGAATATAGCATGGGAGGACTAGAAAGATGGCCCAGTGGCTAGGGCAGCAGCCTAGGCTGTGGGAGATGGAGGTTTAAGTCCCTGCTCTGTACCTTGGGTAAGTCACTTAGGCTCTTTGTGCTTCGGTTACAAATGGGGATAATAGCACTGCTCTACTTTACAGGCATGCTGTGAGGCTAAATATAGTAAAGACTGTGAGGCACTTAGATACTTATATGGCCCATCACCATAGTATCCAAGACAGATATAGGACACTTGTTAGACTCAAGGGCTCTATTATGCAGCAATACCACCAGTACAGAAGGGCCAGACTCATTTGGTTCATTAATTAGGACTGTGTTGGTTAAAAATATATTCCTCTCAGCCCCTGCGTAATTTGATGGCCGCATTGCACACTGCAGAGAAGAGATTTTAGTTCAGGAGGGCCCATCTATCTGTCAGTCCCTAGGACAGTGGAGTGGTGCCATCCTACAGAAGGTGATGAGAGGGTGGATGGTCATTGGCCAGGTGGAAGATGACTCATGGTGCTCAGCTTGCATCCATCTCAGAAGCAGCAGCTGGCGTGTCCTCCCAGCCTTTCAAGGGGAGTGAGCCTTTCAGTCCAGACAGCACATCAGGTACTTGGGCTTTTCACGCACTGGTGTTAGTGGGAGTATTGCCTGAGAAAGGATCTGAGCCCGTGCTGCAGGATTTCCCCCTATATCACTGTCTATATCTAATAGGACTCAAGGTCGGTGTTTGCAATAGGAAGAAAGAGAAGGCCCAGCAGATCGGTGCAGGGACTGGAAGTTCTATTCCAGGGGAAATGTTGCAATTTCAAAATGTGTTTTTGTTCTGAATTGGAATGAAAACACACAAAAACCATTTTTTAAAATGTTTGGTTTGGGACAACTGAAACATTTCATTCTAACTTTGTTTTATATTAATTTTAAAATCAAGTCAAACATCTAATTAAGTCATTTTGAAACAAACACCAAACATGTTCTGTTCCAGTAAGGAAAGCTTTGTTTTGATATTTTTTCAAAACAAAAATTTTGTCAAAATTGACACATTCCCTTCGAAACTTTTAATTTTACCGTAATGACATTTTCCGACAGGAAAACATTCCCCTGGAAAATTTTCAACCACATCCAGTTCCCAGAATAATTGGTTAAAGCATTTCCAGGATCCAGTGAGGACCTACCATTTATTCTGTGGCGGAGGAAACAATACTTCAGTATACTGACGGTACTTCAGATCAGAACAGATTCTGATGCATTTATACTGACTCCTAATGTGTGTACATTTTTCATAGGAGGGTTTCGGGTGGGGGAATTATCAGTATTGTAAATTCAGCTAATTACAGTGATGAACACTGGAGAAATACCTAAGAGTATAAGAAATAATGAATTGCAGCAAAGTTATGTTTTCAACTGTACTTTTAACACATATTTTCAATTTAATAAAACCTGATAGTCCGACTAACATCATCACATTCACGACTGTCTTCTCCTGTGACTTCGTTCTGGGATTACCCAGCATTCAGCCTCCTTCCTGCTGGTAAGGATGATAAAATATGTATCATCACAGAAAAGAACAGTGCAGGCCTTATTAGAGGTGCTTTTCAGGAGTTGTGAGTCAGAAGCATTTATGAGAGCTGTTATTTTCTGATCTATTTAACAGCTGTTTGCTTGTGTTACACAACATTTGCTTTAGAAGATGGTGAAATCATTTTTGTAAATATCAGGCCGGACATGTCCCCATTTCTTTAGGGAGGTTTATACAAAGGGAGAACAATTTCATGTAGAAGTCTAGCTGGAAGACGGGAACATTCTTTCTTTCAGGCAGCCTTACTGGCAATATAAAATTCATTATCAGAAATTTCATACAAGCTCGGCAAATAAAACACAGACACAGACACACACACACGAGAACCCAAGAGGTGCAGCAACTCTAGAGAAAGTCGTGGGCTAGGAAGTGTTCCGAGAGAACATAATGGTTCAAGATGCGGCCAATAGCAGTGCTTCGTCCTAAGGAGAATCAGCTGCATAGGCTGCTGTCTCTCATAGGATCTTGCTTCCAGTCCCTGCAAAAGGAGGAGCATTCTCTCCTTAAGCAGTGACAGTGAAGTGCTACAGTGAAGTTGTAAGGCAAATTATATCCATATAACATTCACCTGCTGTTATCCAGACCGGTGATCTGCTAGGTCACTCCAATCCTCGACTCGGGGAGCCAGCCTTACCCTGCTCTGCTGTGAGAACCCCCACTCCTGGGCTGTTCACGCACAGCCTCTGGCATGTAACCTGCTCCCAGCTACGTGAGTGAGCACTTTTTGCCAGCCGCTGCTTGGATTGTGCAGCCGAATGACACTAGCCAATATCTCCGGTCCCAGACACAACCCTAGGAACCTCCATCTTGCAGTGTCCAATTATGCTGCTGGACGCTGCAAGCTTTTATGAGTTTGTCAATTTAACAAAGAAATTGATATGTACCAGGCTTGTTATCCCAAGGGGAGTCTCTGACACGCTTCAAACCAAACGCACTGCTTCAGGTAGAATAAACAAACAAATTTATTAACTACAAATGATAGATTTTAAGTGATTATAAGTCAAAGCACAATAAGTCATATTTGATCAAATGAAATACAGGGCTTTGGAGCTGTGCTCCTGCTCCACTCCAGCTCCAAGCAAAAACCTGCAGCTCCACTGATCTGGAGCTGCTCCGCGCTCCAGCTCCGGGCTCCGCTCCAAAGCCCTGAAATAAAAGCAAAACGCATTCTAAGCTGATCTTAACACTTTCAGTGCCCTTACAAACTTAGATGCTTCTCACCACAGGCTGGCTGGCTGCCTTTCAGCCAGGCTCTCCCCTTTGATCAGCGCTTCAGTCGCTTGGTGGTGGTATCTGTAATGGAGGTGGAAGAGAGAGCGAGCATGGCAAACATCTCTCCCTTTTATCCTGTCCTTTCTTCCCTCTTGGCTTTGCTCCCCCCTTCAGAGTCAGGTGAGCATTACCTTATCGTAGTCCTCAAACTGACCAAGGGAAGGGGGGTGACTCACTGGAGAGTCCAACAAATCCTTTGTTGCTGCCTAGGCCAGTGTCCTTTGTTCCTGTGAGGCTGGGCTGGGTTTGTCCCATACATGCCCTGATGAGGTGTGAACTGCCCCTCTGCTCCTGGAGAGTTTTGCCTGGGCCTCTGCTCCTAGAGAGTTTTTGCCTGGGCTTGTTTTAAGCCATGAGGACATATTTTTAGCCTCATAACTATACACATGTAATTACAAGCTATAACATTACTATAACAACAATGTTCAGTGCATCACGAGCCTTCCGAAGACACCCGACATGACAAACTTAGCATTGATACCACACAATTATATTGTAAGGATGAACATGGGGGTTCAGAGGGTTCCCCCGAGGTACAGAGTGTCACAATACAGTTAACTTAATTTCAGGCTGTCACTCTAAGGGCACCGTACCATGATGATGACCACAGTGTAAGTACCATCAACCACTCCAAGTTCATCATCAGAAGCAAGCACCCCACAGACCAGGACACACCAACTCAAAGCAGCACCAGACCCTGCCAGAACAACAGATGCAAAACCTGCAGACAATCTCCACTGCTACAATGATATACACCCCCCACAACTCACCTTTCAAGATCCTACACATGCCTATCACAACATGTGGTGTACCTCATCCAGTGCACTAAATGCCCCCAACAACATCTTTGAAACCAGACAACCATTACACTTCTCAAATGAACTCACAGGAAAATGATAAAAGACAAAAATACCCTATCAGCTGTGGGTGAACACTCTTCACAAAGTGACCTCTCTATACCTGGCCTCTCAGTCCTCATCCTCAAAGGAAACCTGAGTAAAAGACAAGCCTTGGAGCTTAAATTCATAGCTTAGCTAGACACTAAAAACCATGGACTGAATAGAGACACTGGAATTATGGCTTATTACAACAATCTGTAAGCCACTAACAACCTTTCCCCCTATGACTGGAGTGGTATTAATGGGTCACTTCATCTTGAATAGTCCTTGAACTATGCGTTCATTACTTCTGCTAAACAATCTGTTCCACCTTGTATTTGGCCGTGACACTTTTAGTACGTTTCCCAGATCTGAAGAAGAGCTCTGTGTAGGCTTGATAGCTTGTCTCACCAACAGAAGTTGGTCCCATAAAAGCTATTACCTCACCCATCTTGTCTCTCTCTAATACCATGGGACCTACATGGCTACAACAACACTGCATACTTTGTGTCAATGTCATTTACCATTTTTGCTGATTCTTTTTTCTGTCCTTTCTTCTCCTGCCTTACACACGGTCATTAAAACATAGCCCCACTGACTCTGAGATGTACTGTCTTTTGAATTTCCTCCAAACCATTCGCTCTCTTTGAAGAGCCTTGGATTTACAAAAACCTTGGCGCTTTTTGCCAGCAGATAAACTTACTTTTCCCCATTTGTGTATTTACAGAACACTTAATAGCACGGACCGAAAAACACAAATGCCAAGTGCATCTGAAAAGCAACAGAGGAGAGTTCCACTGTCCTAAATGTACTGAGATACTTACATGGATGTGATGGTGTTTAATTAAAATGCTGCAACAAAATAATACTCATTCCAACTAACAAAGAAAGCAGAAAAGGTTTGCTTTATGTCCAAATAAATGAGCAGACAGCCCAAATCCCTAGAGTGAGGGAATGAAATAGAATTAAGCTGCCTGCAATCATTTTCCCTCTAAAATAATCGTTTCTGGCCACTGTATCACAGGTGCATCCGTTTTTCAATTTATTTCTTAATTACATTTTCCTTTTAGAATTTTCCCTCTGACTTCAAGTGCCATAATTCATCTATCTCCCTTCCTTCCTTTCTAAAAGTTTCCTTCGACTCAACAGTAAACTTCAATGTATGAGCAAGCCAGGAAAGAGGAGGACCCTGATCTAAATGGGAAATGGCATCTCTTTAGCTCGGTATGAAAACAAACGAATGGAAGAATTTTAAAAAATGCAATGGAGACAGAATGCTCATGACGTGTCTGCAGTAGTCTTGGCTTTAATCTCATGTGTCATCTCCCTCAACCCTCTTCCAAAGAATAATCCTCCAAATCTTTAGCGCATACACAGCACTTAACAAGTTTGCAAAGAACTGGTCAAATATTAATTAATTAATCCACCGGGCACAAATTGTGGGGCCTGATCCCACAACCATCATGGGATGCCTAGTGTTTACTCTCTAACTTCAACCAGACAGCTCCTGTGTTGAAGGAGTGGTGTCAGCAAGGTCTGGCCAGAGGAATTACATGGCAACTGCTACATTCTGAAATAATACATGTGATGTGGTAAAATATGATGCATGCTAACTATGCCATATGAATTTCACCTGACCACCTACAGTGTGAACATCTCTATAGTAGAATACCTGACATGTAGTAATACATGGAACACAGGGGGAAAATGCTCTAGGGCTGTAACTTTCTGGGGGGAAAAAAGTGTGCTGGAGACCCATTTAAATCAACTGGGCTTCATGTGGGGGCACAGCTCCACCTACACGGGGCAGTTTCTGGGATCAGAGTCCTACATTTATCATGTGGAGGCCCGGTCCAAGCCTGTGAAGTCAGTGGGAGTCTTTCCATTGGCTTCAATGGGCTTTGGATCAGGCAGTATGTGCAGAACAACTCATGGGGCTGCTATCAAGCAGGGAAACTATCTGCACTTGTTTCACTGGGACACTGGAAATCAGCCTTCAGTTTCGGCAGCAGCCTTTGAGAGCTACCCAATGATATTCTTACAAGTCTCAGAAAAGACAAGCAGAGGTGAAAGTACGCCGGTACGGAGGACAGGTAAGAAAAGGTGCAATCTGACTCCTCCTCCAGCCAGGCTGACGACGCTAAGCTCCTTCTCCGTGCTTTCCCCCCTGCCTGGTACTCAGCAGCAGCAGCTGCAGGGGCTCCCCTCTACCTTGCACCAGGGAGCAGGGAGACTGTCTGAGAGGGAGAAGCAAGCCTACCCCCTGCATAAGAATAGTTTAAACTCTCAGCTGTTCCCTGCAACGTTCAGCCCCCAGGGTTAGGAGCCCTTTCTGGCATCCTTGTTAATTTCACCCACAGTTGCTGGGGGGAGGGTGTGTTTGACCATGGCAGGGGCAGGGCGGCTCCAGGCACCAGCTTGCCAAGCAGGTGCTTGGGGCGGCCACTCCGGAGAGGGGCGGCACGTCCAGCTATTTGGCGGCAATTCGGCGGACGGTCCCTCACTCCCGCTCGGAGCAAAGGACCTCCCGCCGAATTGCCGCCGCAGATCGCGATCGTGATCGCAGCTTTTGGGAGCCAGCCCTGGGCAGGGGCAGTTCTTTTCTGCCCCTGGGATGAGGGGATCTCACCAATACTAATATACACAACAAATACAAGCATTTGGCTGCACAGCTTAAATCCTCCCCACCCCCCACTCAATAGGGGCTCTCCCTGCTAGCTGCCTGCATAAGAACATAGGGCGCAATCTCAGATCTCTTTTTGTTTTGCCCTGCCTGCAGAGCGCAGAGGCTGAAATTGACAAAACTTTCTCTAAGTATCTTGTATATTTCATGAAGGCTATTCCAGCTGTCCTTCATTCACCCCTGCCCTGCCTTCCCCTACTACTAGTCACCCACTGGTGTGCCCCCTGCACTCTTTTATGTGCCTGGAAGGGAGATTAAAAAATCCTTGATATCTGACTTGCTAGGAAATAGGGAGGATCTAGGGAAAGTGGGGCACTGGTGGGCATGGTGCAACGCAGTCCCTTGCCCCCCCTGGCTCCCACCATGTGGGGGTATGGCACTCAAAAGCTAACTTTGGAACATCCACATGAATGTCTTCCTGGAAAAACAAAATCTTCTTGTCTTGCTTCACAGATCTAAATCTACTCTGATCC